GTTTTCAGTCTCCTTTTCCACCTCAGGCTGAAAACAAAACAGGAAAGAAAAAAAAGAATTTGGTGGCACACTTGACACCTGAACTGCTCAGACATGCTTGGAAAAGAGTGATCTTGACAGAGGCTGTGATGTAGGAATTTGGTGACTGGTCTGGAGAGGTTCAAATAAAGCTTTTCCAATTAAAACTAGCCAAGTTGCCTAACAGGAAAGTTAGGGATACAGCTGAGAGAAATATTTTACATCTTATGCCCAATATTGGCTGGGCATGGGTAGGTATAAACAAGACAAACCAATCAGCCTAATGGCCAGAGCAGAGTCCTTATTTTGGATGCTTTCCCACATCAAATTTCCTTGCAAAACTGTCTATCCGTGGTTTGGTTTTCTTAGGCACAACACAGCTGCTTACACTTGGTATGCCAGGTACATTTTCTAAACACTGATATCCAATCATCTTGTCACTAACCAGACTCCAGGAGTTGTCATCAGTACTAATGGAATTTTGGATGCCATCTGCCACTGCAGGGCAATTTTCTGAGCCTAAATGTTAATAAAGAATGGTTCTTCCCATTGCAGAACTGAAAAACATCATGTTGAAAAGGTGAGAGAACTGGCATGGAGGCTTCCCATAACCTCACGTTGAAGTGCTGGATCACACCTCATACTCCCCTCCTAAATCTCTACCTAATTCTCCTTTACCATGGAGATGCTTCCTGGATGTATCCTGTCAGCTTGTTGGCTTGTCCTAGCTTGTACACTATGCCAGGGTTATCTGCACAATGTTGTCACAGCAGGCTGTCCAAGGCCTGCCCTGCGCCTAAGGTCAAGAAAAGGAAATTTTTTCACCCCTTGATGGATGATGATGAAACCCAGGATTTGCCAGCAACAGGACCTTTTCTGGTCTAACTAACAGTTTCTGGCCTAAAACTAACAGTTGCAGCTAATGAGACTCCAACCACTTTGCAATTATAAATTCTCCAAGTCCAGATACAGTGAGCAACAGACAGGTCAATGAAAAGTCAGTGAAAAGAGGGTATAATCATATTTTCTATGACACCAGTACAATTGAAGTTAGGGAGAGCCACAATGTCATAGCTGACATTTGTGAAGCTGCTCAGGCAGATGTTTACCTGGAGAGTTGCTCTTCCACAGATGGAGGATGCAGAACACAAGGGTGATTATCCCAGCAATCTTCTACAGACATTTCAGCTCTCCTGAGACTTATATATAAAGAAAGAAAGTACTCACAGAGGTTGATGTGTGCTCACGGTTCCTTGGAGGTTTCCCTGTCTAACTCCTCATTCAGTCTTTCATGAGTCTGAACAACACATCCTGTATGGAGTGTATGGAGTGTTGTTGAGGTAGGATTTGGAAAGGCTTCTGTGAGGAAGCACCTCGCCTCATCTCCTCCTGTACAAGCACTGAGTCAAGAATGAGGACTAAGGTATGAGGGAGGATGGGGCAGGAGTGTATTTTCATGTTCATGTTATGTTTTTGGTTTGTTTTCCTAGGAGGACGTCCATCTCTGGAAACTGGAAGGCAAACACAGGTTCCGCGATGCTAGAACAGATTGCAATGACAGAGAGGTAAGGAAGAGGGTTTCAGGACAGTATTAGCTATTCTTGGGTTAGAAGGGAGGAATTGTATTTTGTACTTCGGTTAATTGAGAGAACTGGTAAGTGAGGTCTCCTGGGAGGCTGGATAAAGAAGTTTAAAAGACCAAGTGTTTCCTTAAAAAAATACTCAGGGCACAAAGGCAAACTGTCCTATTTTGGAGAACATACTGGAAGTACAGCTAGAGATCAACATTGCTAAATCATTAGTGATCTTTAGTGAATGTAGCCACAGGAAACAAGACCAGCATACTAAGGTCAAGCACACGAGCACAAACATGTAGGGATAAAATCAGAAAGGTCATAGCACAAAACAAGAAGTAACGAGAAGTTATTCTAAGTACATTACTAATGAGAGGCAGACACAGAAAAGCGTTTTTCTTCCGCTTAACAGAGGGAAAAGTCTGTCAGTTGAAGTGTTGAAAGTGGTTTTTTTCATTAGTCTCCCAAAAGTGGACAGTGTTTTACCTAAGGTCTCACTGCTGAACAGAACAGAAGGAATTGCCTCATGCATCTTACAGGCTGAAGTCTGCAGATGGTACTCCCATATACTCAAATCACTGCGATATTTCCTAATATTGCCACTGCATGACACTGTTGACTCATGGCAACGTACGCTTTGCTGTAACTCCCAAACCCTATTCTGCAGAACTGCCGTCAAGTCACTTGTTCTCCATCTTATTTCTTTAAGTAGATTATTTGTAGATTTATAGGACACATAGCCTACATATAGGCACTCATCCCCAGTGAATTTAAATTTTTTTTATATTATACCTCATATTTGTCAGGATCATGTTTAATTCTGACTCTGTCCAGGTTTGGGGACCGTATTTGAAGAAAAATAGCAATGAGCTGGAGAGAGCCCAAAGGACAATAAAGGGAATGCTCAGAGGAGAAAACATAATCAGCCTATGAGAAAAGAATGCAACAACTGCTTATGTCATTTGCCTCCTTTTTCAGACCACTGATATTTTTCCAGTAGAGGTGTAGACTCATGCATAACAAATCCATGCCTGCAGTGCAGAGGTTCACTTTCCTTCATTAGCTGTCACAGAGCTGGAAGAAGCTGTCCAGAACCTGAACACCACTTCATCCTAAAGATGAAAAAACTTAAAGGGCACAAGCTCTTCAAATATGTAAAAGGCTTTTAATAGGGCATTACTCACTCTTTTTATTACTACTACAATACTGCAAGAAATCATGGGCTTAAATTATAGCAGAAAAGGTTCGTTTGAACATTTCTCATGTTTCCTAACAGTAAGGATAGCATAGCACAGAAATGGATTGCCCAGAGGAAATGGGGAGTCTTTGTCCTCTTTCAGACCAGATCAGAGAAATGTCTCCTCTTTGGGGTACAAGAGTGGTGCAGGTGATCATCTAAGGTCCCTTCTGCGCCTTTAGCTCTGTGAAACAGGGAAACGAAGCCAAGCCCCAAATCAGATGCTGAAGGTGACTCTGCAAGACCCTAATAGGGCTGTGGGAACTGGACATCACTATGCATTCTGGTTTTTTATAACACAGCTGAAGCTAGACAGATGAAGGGTAGACATTCCCTCATTGCAGTGTTGTAGGGCTAAAACCCAGATTCCTGCCAGACTGCCATAGTGCATTTTGAAGGTTCATTTTATAGATGAAGTACCACAATTCACTACTCTAATTTTATCCAGCCATAAATGCAACAAATCCCATTGAAATCTGTGGGTCATCAGTGCATGCAACAAGGCAGGAGTGTGCTGGAATGCTCCGGTGAGTCAGAGCAACCTGAAGTACCTACTGTACTGAAGAGTAGCCCAAAGCATTGACATGTTCAGGAAATACTAGGCAAAATGGCAGTAAATCCTCCGCACGTGCTACCCCGATGCACAAATACACCCTTCTGTCCCATAGCACTCCTGTTCCAACCCAGCAGCCCTGACACCTCCCAGTGCTCACCTAGGGCCAGCAATGTTGAAGACATGTAGTTATCGGGGTCTCTGGCAGGGGCAGCAATTCCCTGAGCCTGGCTACTGAACCCAGACACCTGGAGATGTCCCTCAGGAAGAGAGGTGGCTCCCATGATGGTTCCCCTGGGTGTGGGGGCACAGCAGTGCAGGAGGGGGGGCTGGCAGTGCCTCCTGCCTGGCTCATGGGGTCCATAGGTCTCCTCCTCCTCCTCCTCATGCTGCTGACTCCTCCTCAGGTGCTCTCTTCCTCAGGGGGGGCTGGGGGGAACGTGCTTGGTCTCCTCATTAGGGATAAGAGAAAACTGGTGGTCATGTAAGCCATACTCTTGCTTCTTCCCGCAGACATTATGTTTGCACAAGTTGATCATTATATTGTCAAGCTATGGGGACTCTGGCTGGCTTCAAGGACATAAACTTGTCCTTTGGCCAGAACAGCTCTTTTCCCAGTCCCTGTGGGGTCTGCAAAATGTCAGTGCTTTCATGAGACTGTGGCCTTCCCTCCCCTCCCCGCATCTTGTCATAGTCCTGCTTACAGATCTGCTGTTCTGAGATTATTATTTTTATTGAAATGGTTGGGACTGCGGCGCAGCTGCACAGGAAATAAACCCAGGCTGCCTCGTTCCCTCCTCATTTCCACAGTGGGGGGAAGCGGTCCCCCCATAATACACCTCATGCCATTTTCTCTCCTCCTCTGACACCAGGGTAGCTAAGGGGGCACCCGCCCAGCCTGGCCCCCTGTTTGTACCAGCTCACATTCCCGTTCTGGGATGGCTGGAGAAAAGGGATACAGCCTGTAGCGCTCCCTCTGACAAAGCAGTGCCTGGTCCATGTGATGGGACCGCCTGGCCAGGAGCAATGCCCAGGGGATAGAAGGGAGGCAGGAGACTGTGAAAGGATGAAATTGAAAGAGTAAATTGTAAAAGGCAGGAGCCGCTGGGTTACAGATCAGGGAGGGGATGGCTACTCCCTGCTAAATCCTGCACTCACTTTCCGATCCTATTCCAGCCCCAATGGGCAGGACATCTTATCAGGAGAAAGCCGCCTGCATAATGGAGGGCTTTCAGGCAAAGCCAATACAAACGGTAAGGGGCCAACACTACTGGGAGATTAAATGAGCTAAATATTTATAGCTTGGCTAAATGACAACCAAGTGGTGATCTGATGTAAATACCAAGGAGGGAAAGAAACATTTTAAGGTGGCTTTGAAGGAAAGATTGAAACAATCTGAAATGAAGGGAAACTTTAGGCAAGATACTTTGATTTTGTCCCATCTCCTGTGCAAGAGAGGGAGGCAATGACCCAGCAAAGCATATGAATTATGCCTTGTGATAAAAAAAGTTCCAGAATTGATTTGGCTCCTATGGGCAGTGGGGTGGGTGGCTGTATTTGGCGGACCCCAATGACAGCTAATACTAGGCCATGCCTCTGTGGTCTCTGCAGGTACAGACTCTGGGCAGACGCCTGTGCGGAAATGTTTGGAGGTCTTGACATCTGCGCTGTCAAAGCTGTCCACAGCAAAGATGGAAAAGACTATATCATTGAGGTGAGAGCATGGGGAACCTGAATGCAAGTCTCCTTTGGGAAGTGTATCTGCAAACACGCTCCCTCAGAGTTCACATGCACCAGTATGCTCACTTACTCCCGTGCGCATGGTCCAGCAGTCACTGCTCCTTGGTGCCCACGTGTTTCCTCCAAGCTGTGGCCCACTGATGTGCAAGAAACTGATTTAGAGGCCCAGCTGAACTGGCAGATATGCAGCAAGGTGTCAGGGTTGAAGACCCTTTGTTTCTCGGTGTGGACTGTGAAAGGAAATGGGGAGCCACAGGCTGCTTGGCCACCCCAGCTTTCCAGCTGATAAATCCCCACAGCACAGAATCTTACCAGCATGGAGCAGATGCGAAGCTGCATTCTTATGAAGTACATAACAGCCTGAAAGTGCTGCTGGCAGGATCCAAAGTTTGGTGTCTCTCAGTGCACTGGTGCTCCAGTACCATCCTTTCTAGGCTAAGCACTTGCAAAGCCAGGGCATCTCTCATAGCTGCCAGTAGGAACCAACAGCATCATGAACAAACATGCCCATAGTTCAGCCCAACCTGAATTCAGGTGCCAGATGACGTTAGCGTATTAGTCATGTTAACCTCCTCCCATTAACCACACAGAGGTCCAGCAGGTGATTCAGTCCATTAAAAATCTCAGTTCCTCTCTGAATAAACCTGTCTTTCTCCAGTCACTTTAAAGGGAACCTCAAGAACAAAAATCCTAGCTGCATCTATTTTCAAGGAGTAAAATAAATGGTGAGACTGTGGCAAAAAGGTCTATAAGTAGAAGGAACAATTTTATTTAAAAAATAGGTATATTTTCTAAAATCTTTTGCCCAGACAGCATTCACTACAATAACAGACCAGCAAGACAAAGCACCACAGAGTTAGTATGGGCAGTGTGGACTTGGACTACAGACTTTTGTGTTCAGAGCTGGACAGACTGCGGCTCTGAGAGCTAAAGGTCAGCGTGCTCCTTGCCAGGCCAGGAGGCAGACGTGGGAGTGGGGTAGATAGCACACTCAGGTCGTCCTAACAGGGCAGAGAAGGAAAAGCTGGCCAGAAAATCAAAGTGGAAATTTAAGAGACGCTATAGGGGAGAGAAAATCTGGCAAGTAAGCAAGTGCCTCTGTCACTATGTGACTCAAGAAGGCACAGCATCTGACCTGCTGTAAACTCCACCAACACAGGCCATCCGAGGAAGATGAGCAGAGCCAGCCTATGGCTTCATGCAGGGGTGCTGACACACTGGAAAGCTATGTGTGGGAGAGCAGTCCCACCCACTGAGGGCTGGGATGCTGATGAGAACCACATGAGCCCTCCAGCGACTGCGCATTCCTCCATTATGTATCTGCTCTCCGGGGAGCAGTGACCTGTCAAAGGCCATGTGATATAAGCAGGCTGCCAGCAACGAAATGCTGGTGAGCCTCCGTCTTTCCTGAAGTGATGGGGCCACGGCTGATGGGTCTGCTCCTGCATGCAATTTATCAGCACCTAAAGGAGCATGCCCCAGAACAGACTGTCACCCTGCCACGCGCTTTTATATCTCTGTGTGCATGTAGCTGAGAAAGGGTAAGAAAGCAGTCTTGCTAGAGACGACTGTAAGGACATTTGCTCTGTGTCCATACATGGTTAGACGTGAGAGGTGGATTTCATATCCCTGCATCTATTCTTGCATATAAGCCTATGCACGTGCACACATGGCTAATTCTGTGCTTAAGGATTACATGCCTCTGTCTGGGTATACCTCTGGGTTTTCACATCTGCCCCTGTGTGTGACTGACTGGATGAAAAGCACATCCATACGCTAACAGCCATCACCAGCTTGCACACAGAGAGAGAAACGCACACTAATCCTCCTCTCCCTGGAACTAAGGTCAAAAGAGATGGATCTAATACGATACAAATCAGAAGAACACCTCAGCTTCAGATGGGTCACGCTGAATTATCCCAGCGGAGAACCTGACTGAGCAGGCCTGATGTACCAACATCCAGCAGGCATTCAGACGCCAGGCTGACAGACGTCCTCAGGAAAGGAGCAGAGTAGTGGAATACAAAGAGCAGAACAAAGCCAAACGGGCACCTTTTCTACTTTATGCAGATCTGAGGGAGATGCTGACAAGTAATTAATTGCCTCCAGCCTACTTCCTGGGGTACTTTTCTTGGTCTGAAACTGATCCTTTATTTTGCTTTTTTCTTTTGATAGTGGGAGAAAAAAGTTATTTGACAGTGCGACAGTTGTATTTTTCTTGGTGAGCAGGAACAGTGTGCTGTGACATTTTACAAGAAAGCACGCCTAAATGGGCTGAACAAATACGGAATTTGCACAATGCAATTGCAGGCAGTAATTAATTTTCACAGTGCAAAGCAGTTCCCTAGGAAAGATTCGCAGAGGTAGTGATGGGCAGTTCCATGAACTCAGATTTCTCACAGTGGTTTGTTGCAAACAGATCAGATTAAGACAGATGAGTTATCAGCACAGCACAAGAGTAATCTTGCACCCGTGGTATTTGCTGTTACTTGAACTTCACCTTCTTTTCTTTTCCCATGGCAAACAGCAGAATCTAGTACGGTTCTGCCCTTCAAAGCACTAGCGCGCTTAAGCACTATTCTCATGGCTCGTATTGAAAACCTTGAAGAAATCAGTAGATTTCTTGAAAGTTTCATTCTGTCAAAACAACTGTGAATTTAACAGTAAATGCTGGTACTTTTTTTTCCTCTGCTTTAAAGAACTTTGTCACTCTTAAGGGAATATTCAGCATGAATAGGCAGCACTTCACCAGAAGGCCGGATCCTCAAAATAGTGCGAGCTCAGTAGCACCGTTAGCAGCCAGATTCTCCAAAGAGCTCAGCAGTGTCTATGGTTTAATAGTTCCACCCTCCCTCTTTTTGGTAATCTAACCCTTTTCCACATCTCTGCTATGCTGACAAGTATGGAGCGAGTGGAAGGCAAGAAAAATGATCCATGGGATTTATTCTTACTCCTGGATCAGCTAAGCCCTACCTGCCATACAGCTAAGCTCTGTTAATAGACATGCTCCTCACTGCGCCGCAAGAAGCCCTGTCCATCCCTTCAGTGTTGCCGTATCGCTTCTTTTGATACAACTAATCATCTTTTTTCTTCCTTCCTTCCCCAAAAATCACCTAACACCCCACTCTCGCACATCAGAGAATGGAATAACAGGCCCAGCCTTCAGGCCTCAGTGTCAGATAGGCACAGGGGGAGGAGCAGGATGGGATTTTCCTGAATCTCTTCTTTGTCCGCCCGCTTTCCGCTCTCCCCTCATACACCTTATCAGGCAACAGCAGCTGCATCAGGAGCAGCCACTGACCTTGAGCAGCTACAAAGGCTGGGCCCAGACGTGCCGACGTCTTCTTGTCTTGCCCAGCTGTTCTGTGACCTCCCTGGGAAGAGATGAGCGTGATCTGTCTGTGATTCACATATTCCTTCCAGCCATTTGCTTTATTTCAGCATTAGCATTCATATCTGTCCAGGTCCAGAGAAATTCCCCTTTCCCGAAGGACAGACAAGGTGACATCTCATGCTCCTGTTCAGTTCAGTGGCAACCTGCCGTGTTGTTTTGCCCACGGAAATCGCTGCCATTTTCAAAGGCCTTCCCTTATGCGTCTGATTGCTCATTCCCGCATTTGCAATTTCCCACAGCTCAGGTTCCCCTGCCAAGCACTACACAGGAGGACAGCAGATACCCTCATCCCTGGCGCACCTTCACTGGGGCAGGTGGGACCTCCTCCAGGGTTCATTCCCCTGGGTGCCTTTGTGGCATAAAACAGCACCTTCCCTTCCCTCTCCAGCCACTGCTGCCCCAGAAATAACGAAAAGCAGTTCTTAAGATGGGGAAATGAGGGGGTTGGGGGGAGTTGACCAGAAGCTGTATCCCAGTTACTCACAGGGAGGGTTAGGGAGCCAAGAGCCAGGCGTCACTGGCCAGGCTGTTAGCAGAGTAATGGCGTCATCTGGTGGCCGGACAGGTCCCTCGCATGGCACGTTGCAGGGAGCTGCTGGGACATCTTTTCTCACGCATGGACTGGAATCGTCAAATGAAATGGGAATGCTTTTAGGGTAGGAGCGGAGGGGAGGGAAACCTGCGCAGGAGCCTGCTGGAGGGCCCCCAGGAGCCCCTGGCTGGAGAGACACAGCCGGGAACTGGCCGGTCCCTGACGCCACCAGGAAACACCTCCTTTCCCCACCTCATTTTTTTAAGAGAAACGGCATAGTGGACCATGGAATGAAAAGCCACTTGGTGTATGCAGCTGAGCACTGTCATCTGATTTTCCAACCTCCTCCTTTTGCCCCCTGGGTCAAGTAGGCTATGGATATAAACGCCAACTCACTCTTCATGCCAATCCCAGTTAGAACTTCCTCGGCAGCTCCTCTAGTGTTTACATGACATGCTTATAGAAATTAATCCAAATTAATAGTTATTCTACAAGAAACGACTAGAATACAATTTTTTTTCACCGAAAGGGTTGTCAAGCATTGGAACAGGCTGCCCAGGGAAGTGGTTGAGTCCCCATCCCTGGAGGTATTTAAAAGACGGGCAGACGAGGTGCTTAGGGACATAGTGGTGGGATGGCAGGGTTAGGTCAACGGTTGGACTTGATGATCTTAAAGGTCTTTTCCAACCTAAATGATTCTATGAAACTCTATGAACTCACCTCACTGATTTCCCCTACTTTAAATCTAAAAAAAAAAAAAAAAAGGGAAAAAGGGAGCAAAATTTTAAAACTTTCCTTTTCACTCCAAGAGTGGACTCCTGCAGCCCTGCTGGGGTGGAGCGCACTTCCGATTGTTATCTGGGCGTGAGTCAGTGCCTTTCTTGAGCAATGCAACCTTTAACTCTGCATTTCCAGGGGTTTTAATGTTTGGTTTAAAAATAAAAGCAAAATAAAATAAACTTTTCCAACCCTGATATTTTGGTACAATTATATTTACTCCAGCTGAATCTTAACTTCATCATAGTGCAGTTCTTCCTGTGGGATTTAGCTAATGTTTGCAAAGCACTTGATTTATGATAACTGTTGAAAATGATGTTTAGGGCTGCTAAACAGCTGAAGGCCTGCTGTGCTTTCATTATTATTGTTGTTGTCAGACCATTTCTTACCTCAAAGACCCTTTTGACAGTTCTCCTTCCCCCATCCCCAAGGTCTTGCTTCCCAGCTTCCCCCAGCACAGTTGTAGTACTTGCTTGGGAAGCGGCCATATCACAAGAATATCAAGAAGACAAGCAGAGTGTAAGCTGACTTTCCTGCATTGGGTGCTGTTGCTTTGATGACATCCTATTCATGGCACATCTGTGGTGTGTATTTCCCCTCTCAGGGTGCAGTGCTTTGCGTTGATTAATCCCAAATGTTTCCTGATTTCCTCCAGTCCCTGTTGTTCTCATCTCCTTAGGCTGTACATGTTATTTCCCTTCTCCTGTGGCCCTTTCTGCTGCAACGTCACCCCCAAATGCTGTGGGACAATGCTAGAGAGACTTCATCCATCACAGGCATCTCCTCAGGATATGTGAAGAAGCAAGCTTGTATTTAGTTGATTTAGAAAGCCTCCAGCCACCAGAAGGCTTGGCTTGGCTTCCAAGTTGTGAAGGGAAGGAAGATGGGGAGTGGGGGGGAAGTACATGCCATTTCCATAAAAAACCCTAAGCGAAATCCCACACCTAGGAAAGTCAAGCATGTTTCAGCATGGAGGGGAGTGGTGACTAGAGGTGTTGGCAAGGCTGTGGAGACACAAAGCAGGCTAGTGCGAGAGGTGAGCTGAAACAGGCATCCGCCACCCGGAAATCTCCTTACTAACTGTTGCTTTTCCCTCCTGTGGCAGGTGATGGACAGCTCGATGCCCCTGATTGGGGAGCACGTGGAAGAGGACAGACAGCTTATAGCTGATCTGGTTGTCTCCAAAATGACTCAGCTTGTCATCACTGCTGGATCTACGCCGTCACCGCTGAGGCCTTGGGTATGAGCGAATAGAGACTTTATGGCCAAGTTGTTTTCCTGAACTTCTTTTTCTCTCTCTCTCCTCCCTACTCGGTATCAGAGTTGAACAGTCCCATATGGGAGTGTATTTGATAGACTGACTCTTGCTCTTCCAAAGAAGTCTCTCGTATACTCTTTGCAGTGGGTGCCCCTAAGAAACACCTCTCTCTTCTTCTGCTTCCATATAACTGTGGCATCGCACCAGTAGTGTGGTCCATGCATCTAAACATTCTGGTTTGCTAAATTCATAGATTCATATTGAAGACAGCCATTTTCAGAGGTCCTTGTAATGCCCAACTTCATCTCCGTCTAACACCACCCCCCTCAGGATAGGCTTCATTTCAGTTTTTGCATCCCCGATGAAAATCTGTGCTTTCCAGAACTGAAGTGAGAATCTCCACCAAGAGTTGTTCCATTCCTTACTGCAGCCTTTCTTCTTTGGAGATGCCCTTCACCCACTTCCATCAGGAGGAGGCTTGGTTAATGCTGAATTCACATAAGAACCTGTCATTTTTACATTTAAACTGGCTCATTAGTGCTTCTCGTGTACATTTATTTTGAGTATCAAATGCATCTAATCTTAGTGCCCCATTTCCCAGTGCCAGTACTGTACAAATGAAACACGGCAGAACATAATCTGTGTCTCCAGGTATATGTGCTACACCTCTTTCAGTATCTAGCAGGGAGCCAAGCACAAAGGTTTGAGGACAACAGATCCGTACAAAAGGAAGGACAGGAGAGTAAACAAACTGAGGGATAACACTGACTGCAACGCACTGGAACAGTTTCCATTTCCACTTGAGACAAAAAACAGGAGAAAGGACTTTATGGCTCTCTGCCTTTGTCATATGACAGCCCACTCCTGCTAAACCAGGTCCCCAGCATGAACGGTATTCAGGGTAATTCCAAACCAAGTTTTAGCTAGCATGAGGGGGTAAACATTTAATAGACGCTAAAAATGCTTTGAGGCAGGGAAAGCAATACAGAAGGGATAGGATTTACCCTGGCCAAAATGAAATCAACAACTGCCATCTGAAATAACCAAGATACAGAGTGTGTAAACTAGGAGCAAAGGGGAAGCCAACAGAAACTGAGAACATGGACAGATGCAACTGTTGTCTATGTAATGTACTGGTAGAAGATTGGACTGGATTACAACAGACCTAAAATAGGGCCAAAATAAGAACAAAATACATTGTCTTGGAGCGATAAGGTGTCACATAGAAGAGTTAAATAAGAAAAGGGTCTTCATCAAGAACACAACCTACAAATAACTGTATACAAAATCAAGAAAATTAAAGCCACAAACATGCTAACTAGAGTGTTTTGCTATAGAGAAAGATATTGGTACAACAAACATTGCAGAAACCACACAAGCTACAATTATTAACATAATGCTTTAACACCTAGTGACAAATGTGCAGAGAAAAGTAACTTCATGTGAGGCTGGTGAGATGCAGAACTAGAGCTACAGGTGAAGACTTCACAGAACAAAGAAAAACAACAATCCTGAACAGAAGGGCAGCAGTACTGAATACATAGAAATATGAATCCTTGGATATCCTATGGATATGCATATCTATATATATTATTGGAGCTGTCTATTCTAGTCTCTGGATCAAGAAAAACTGAGAAATTTTAAAATGGAGTACACAGCATCAACAGGGGTGGAAGAAGCAGCAAGTCATAATAACATGAGACTACAGCCATGAAGAAGCACAGTGGGGCAGCAGTTCAGAGAGAGTTCCCCATCTCTGTAGATGTCTGCTTCCTGAACTGCAAAATCCAAGTGCAATAGGAAAAAACACCTTGACTTAGCCTCAAGAAACACCAAGTTACAAATTCAGAAAGTGAATATATACCATTATGTTTGATGTCCAAGGGACAGATGTGATATCGAAAAGTAATGATATGACACAAATAGAAAAGATCATTTAATAAAATGAGAAAATTAATCAACTCCCTACCATTAAAAATAGAGCTGTATGGATGTTATTTGAGAGACCGTTGTTTTCCAGAATGCATATATACATTTCTGATCTGCTCCTGAAGCAGGAGTGCAACAAATAAACTTCTAGGGTTAAGTCTTAAAGTAATACAGGATATTCAAGACATACAGAAAAAAAGAAATCTTCCAAATTTGTAAATCTGACATTTAAGAAGACCTTTATGCACCATCATGCAAGTAATAAAAGGAAATATAAAAAGGATAGAAATTTCTTTTGAAGAACAGGTAGAGGGAAGAATGAACCAAATTCTTTGAGTTCATCAAAAAATGGAACCCTACCAAACAATTGGTGGGCTCCATGGATCATCCAAAGTTAAGGGAGAAAAGGAAGACAACAGGGACAGTGTTGTGACTCTAGTAAATTTAATTGCTGAAACTGGGGAACTTTTTCAACTAGATATAGTTTTTCCTGATAGGAAAGACAGAAGTGAAAGCAAAAACAGTGATTAAATCAGTGATGACTGATATTTCAAAAAATTATTAAGCCCCCAGATCCAGGTGGCTACATCCAATGAACTGAATTTAGGAAGTGACTGAGCTGCTAATTAAAAATGTGCAATTTCTTTAGAAACAGTTTTTGCTCCAGAGGATTGGTGTACAACAAATAGAAAATATGTGTTTAAAAAGTTGTAAGAGTCAAGGACCTTGCAAATTATCTCAGACAATAATTTAAAGAATAATACAGAAGACTAATAAACCAACAGAACCATGGCTTAAGATCATTTACCACTTTTTTTTTTTTTCAGAGAAAAATGTCCCATTAATTTCCTTTTGATTCTTTTCCCATGATTTCTTTGAGAATTATTTCATAAAGTGGTAGACAACAGGCAATCAGTCAAAATAATGTAGCTAGACTGTCAAAAAGCCTTAGGCAAGGCAACATACAAGTACTACTAAAGAAAGCAAGAAGGGAGGGACTAAAAGGCAAAGTTTCATCGTGGAGCAAAAGCTGGCATCAGATAAAGACATAGAGATGAGAGATTTTAATTCTTGCAAACATTAGCAGAGGGGATACATAAAAAATGCTAAGCTTGGTCATGTTGATAATTGGGTTATTTGAGCCCAGGACAGGATAAGATGTTAACAACAAACCTTTTTTTTCATGGCTACAACATGAAACCTGGTTTTATGGTTACAACTGCGGTTCTCTCCTCACCGCTCTGCCCCACCTCCATCCCTTCCCGTCACTGTTTCCCTTCCAAAAGCAGAAGACCTTGGGCTGGCCCTCACCCCTTCATCTCTGAGCCTCAAGATCCTGTTTTGCCTTCATTTCTGAGAAGCCTTGGGTTGACTGTAAGCAAAGGTCGTAGAGGTGAATATGAGACCAGATTCCCTTTCTTTGGCTGGTCTAAGGTTTAGTGTCCCAAGCTATGTAGGACTAGAAGCCATGAATGGAAAATTCCCAGGTTTTCCTCCCCATCCATTTGGCAAGTCCCAGAAAAATAGTGTCAAAGATGTGCTGGCAACCTCATTGCACTTATGTTAGACAGTTGAAACTCATTTCAGTGCTTTCAACTACGAAACATTTCTTTTCATTTCCAGAATCACTTAGCTCATTCTCCTGACCTTCCAGGAGCCTTGAAGACCCTTTTATCACTGTGCTCCATGTTAATAACGCAGCACGTACCAGCCTATCTGTCTCCAGCTTCCCCTGCTTTCATAAACAATTTTGTGCAATAGACTTACTCAGACTTTTGTTAACCTTGGACCAGCCCTTTGTGCAACAGTTTTGTGTTGCTTAACCTGTTTACTAAAATATCTGCCAAAAAGAGTAAATAGTGAGAGAAAAGAAAGTGCAGATGCCACCAACTTATTTGCGTTAGTCGGGACCAGGGATGGCAGCGAAGAACATCTGACAGAACTGTGCACGTTAAGTCACCACAACAGCAAATGAAACTCTGTATGGAAGATCGAAAGGTAGGCTAAGATGGGGATAGAGAGAGGGAGAACATAAACAACCTGTAGACTTTGCAAGTGGCACTAGCCATGCCCCTTGAGAAAGACATTGTCACATACAGGCTAATGAAAACAATTGCTCAGCCTATGGTTGTGTTGAAAAGGGAGAAGCAGGAAATCAGGATGCAGGAGAAATGAGCTGGTGATATATAGAGAGCCCAGATACTGCTGCATCTGGCATAATGTCAGCAGACCTGCCTCTGGCATCTGCAGAAGGAATCACAAAGCTGGGAAAGAGAAGTGGGTGATGAAAACAATTAGAGGCCTAGAAGCATTCCCATAGAGGGAGTGAAGGGATTCAAGTCTCCTGGCTTTAGAAAGGAGGTGAACGAGAGAAAGGGCAGTAAAGGTTTTCAAAATAATGAATGGCCTGCAAGGACAGGTTGCGAGAACCATCCTCAAAACTCAGAACAAAGCAATGGAGTTAAGAAATGCGAAAAGCAGCGAGGCTGAGAGCTGAGCAAGACTCAAAGGGTCTGGGTGTAAATATCAAAACAAAGTATCTGGAACTAACTTGCAAAGATTTTGTGGAGCAGATAGTAAGCCTCACGTTTTAGGGTTTAAGCTGGCCCTCGCTTATTAGCAATCAAGAGGAGACCCCTTAGGGAAAAGAGATGATTACTCCATAGATGCTTCCCTGGTTCATCTCTCCTTCCTTTGGAACATCTGGTGCTGGCAACTGTCCAAAATGGGAGATGGGACTAAGAGACTCCCTCGGGCCTGATACATTTGGTAATTCCTGATTGCCTAAAAAACATTTTAAATTATAACTTCATTGTTATTCCCTGTGAGCAAACAACTTCTGTGCTCTTTATTACTCAGCTCTCCATTTTAGTCCCGTAAGATTTTACCAGCCAGATGCTGCGTGTGTGTATTTAAGGAACACTTCATGACTCTGCAGTTCCTATATTACCTCAGGGCTTCTCTCCGGGGACTCTGTATTAACTGGAATGCCTTTTTTTCCCTCTAGCCTCCACAAGTTCAGCCTGCGTCAATGAAATCTCAGACTGGACCTCTGCTTGGACAACTGTCCCAACCACGGCCTCCTCCCCAAGGTACAGTTCTTAGGGGTCTGTGACAGTGTGGACTGACATGTATCAGTTTTCCTTCTAAATAAAAGCTATCGGGATAAAGGTTTCACTCATTGTTCCAATTCATTGACAAGCAGGCAGCAAGTTCAGTGTGCTGCCAAAGCAGCTGCTATCATATTCCACAGAAACTCAGAAAGTGGGGCAAAACTTTGATGCAGATCCCATTGACACTTCTGGTAGTACTTGGCTCAGCAAAGTGAGGCCATTTGAACTAGCACTGGAGAAGGACTCTGGGCACAGAGTGTATTTGTGTTTGCACAAAGCTGTAGTGGTTACAAGTATGAAGAAGCGATGGGAAGATGCTAGTGCTGTCAGGCTTGGAACAGACACCATGGTGGTGATGCCAGGATGCTTGATCATCCATCTGTCCAGGTGCGCCCCTGTCAGCAAGAGCACACCCCCAGCTCCTCCTGACAGCAGAAGCAGGTTTGACTGATGTGGTTGGTCAGAATGAGAGATTTTGTTTATTGTCCTGATTTATGCTGAGGTGATGAAGCACAGGGCTGCCCTGTGGGTTCCCAGACCACACCAACCACTCAATTCACATAACCAATTAGACCCTCCTTTTTGCCACCTTTGTCCTTTCATTTCTCCACCTCAATCTCCTACCAAATTGACACCCACCTCTAATTAGCTTCTCCTCATCAGTCACAGTTTTGATGTATCCAAAATTTGGTGTTCCTGATACCAAAGGCATCTATGTAATCTTGGTGTTGCACACTGTTACTGATATGACGACCTAGGAATTGCTGGCCTTACAAGATACTACTTCCCCGTCTGTTTCCAGTATTCCCCTTCAATTCTCTGTAAAGTTTTTTCTCACATAACTCCCCCTTGACCACCTGTGAAATCCAGTCAGTCCTCACAACGCTATCTGTAACTTTTTTGTCAGCTTCTCACACTGTTTTCTGTCACATCCAGCAATTTCTCAGGTCACATCCAATTATTTTCCACATCCTCTTCGGTTTTAAGAGTCTGCTACCAATAGGGCTGAAGCCACCTGCTGATAATGCTGGCACAGATATATGGATAGCGATAGGGTGCACAGTCTCACATCAAACTGCTGGGCCCATGAAGGGACCGCTGACCCAAATCAGAAGACTCAGGTTTCATTTTCTGCAGAGTTGGTCCCCCAGTGACTCCTCCTTCCCAACACAGGACGTGCTTGCCAAGGATAAGAAATACTAAATACATGGAAGAGTCCAGCACATTGAAGTGACTCCCTTTGGGGAGAGTGGCAGAGCTGCTCTGGTGCTGAAGGAGGTAGAGAAATGGACCACAACTCTAGAGAAATGGGCATGACACCAGTGTTTGGCCTATAAAAGAGGTTTTCCCTTATCCTTCTGCATGAAGCTACTCCGAATAGCCTCTCCCTTTAGCAAAACCCATTCTTCCACACAGATGCTCCTTGCTTGTTGTCCACCACATGCACCTCCTCATGTTTATGTCTACATGTGCCTTTCAGGAGGACCACGCCAGCCTCAGGGATCTCAGCCTCCACGGACAAACGCGCCTCCACAGCAGCGGCTCTCTCCTCAAGGACAGCAGCCCCAGAGTCCCCAGTCCACTTCACCTCAGCAGCAAAGGTCACCTGGATCTCCACAGCAAGTCCGATCAGCAACTGGGTCCTCTCCAGTCCAGGCTTCCAAGGCAGGAGTGTTCCCTCCACAGCAGCCTAGACCTCCTGCTCAAGGGCGTGCTCCTAGCCAGCCAAGCCCCACTGAAACGTCCAAGCAGCAAGCCACCCCACACCCACATCTGAAGTAGGTGCTCTGTTAAAACTATCTCTAGATAGTAGAATAAGGCTGTCAAAAAAGTACCCTGAGCTGGCGTGAAGAACATGTCACCTGCTGTCAGGCAGTAGTCCCCAGGGACAAAGGCCTGGACCACTATGAGTGTCTTCAGAGGTGTATACACCTAGGTGTAACAGGCCACTATTGAACGGTTGTCAGGAAGAACAAGTTATACTTGCCATCTCTAAGATTTCATGTTCTTCCTCTTGCTCATGCTCTCATAGTTAATCGTGTGCCCTACCCCAGCCATATCAACACAGCTAGTACCTTCCCAGCAGGGTGAATACTCCTTACAGGCTGCAATGCGCACATTATTGGCCAGAAAGCTCAACAAGAGTCATTCCTTCACTATTCCCTGAATGCAGGAGCCACACAAGTTTCTTTACCAGGCAATTTTTTGCAATTGGTAACAAAAAAAGGCAGAGGGGCAGGGAAGTGGAAGCAGCACTACTCACATATATAAAACTCCAGATGGTGGCTGTATGTTTAAGTGCTCTTCTGGAACAAAGCACACCACTGAATTATTGTGGATCTTTGGTAGCAGCCTTTGCTGCCACCCTTCATGGAGCATATCTGGCTGGCACCATGGCCAGAAAGATTAGTAAAGAATGTTTGGTGTTGACAAAAAGATGACACAAGAGCAAACTGGTATGAACAGAACATAACAAAATACAGGCTAGGAAGGAGAAGACAGTTTCTAGACAGCAGAGGAGTGATGTTCTGGAGCAGGTTTTCAGTGATGATGTCTACATTAGCAAGGCAAACCAAGACTTAAGGATCAAAATGTTGCTGCTAAGGATGCAGTCTCCACATGATATGTATTTCAGGTACAGTCCTGATCTGAACTTAAACACTAGCAGATACACACCCAGCAGGACCAGTGTGGCCAACCAAAAGACCTGTGTAACACATCTGACAGTCAGAGCAGACATGCCAGGGAGGGCAGGCAACAGCACACACTGTGGGGGACGTGGCTACCAACCCACCCAACCTCTCGTGGTCTCACATTTGAATGGACAGGACCACCACTCGTGGTGCGGCTGACAAGAGACACGTGACCCTCAGTATGAATCCATTCTGTATTAGTAGTGAAATTACTTAACTGTTCCTCATAATAGTTGCATCAAATGGCAATTGCATGGTTTTAGTCAGATGTTTTCATAAACCCTTACTAGTCTGGACTGCAACATTGGAGCCACCTGCCCATGCCCCATCCTCTCCCCTCCCCTCCTTACTGAATGTCTTAGCACAGGGAGTCTCCTTGTTTACCTCTCCTTTTATCCTTGAATTCGTTTGTGTGATGGAACACAAAGCATCAGTACCAGCTTTGAACTGCCACCTTCTCCTGGCAAGTCTGAACTCTGTTTTCCATTTCAGCAAATCGCAGTCCTTGACAAACACCTTCAGCATATCTGAATCATCTCAGCGGGGAAATGCCAATGAAGATGAAGCAAAAGCTGAGACCATCCGCAACCTGAGGAAATCATTTGCTAGCCTGTTTTCCGATTAACAGCCCTGCAGCTGGATCCGTGCTTTACTCAGCCCTCACTCTTCATACCAGCGTACCTGATGTCATCCTGGAATACACCCAATGGTACCCAGTGATTTACAACTCACACCTGGGTAAAGGGAATTTAGAAAACTATAGTTGTTTTAATACAAAGAAAATATTATAATAACGGTCTGAAAAGTGACTGTATAAAAGTGGCACTATTTCATTAGGTTTTGTGCATAATCAGAATCATATCTGTTTAAATGACTGAATTGTAAAGCAAATTTTACTCTTGCTAACCCCTGTGGAGTCAACATGTTATGACAGTGCAAATTAGATTTTATTTTCATTTGTATATAGTCAATACAATCGCTAACTGCCAATTACTGAATCCTTGTTGAGGTCAAGCTAAAAAAATATATAGGCTTATTTCAGAAGATGTGCAAAGATGGAGTCAAGAGTAAGTATTCATTGAGCATGCTTGAGCATGGAAACACAGTGAACTGTGGAACTTCATGATACCAATGTTATAAAAAGTCACTTTTCAGAGCAAAACTACTTTCAAGTTAAATATGGTACCAGACATCAGTAAGCACCAAAGATCACATGAGCAGGTCATCCAGATGGACTGCTGGTTTGCTCCAGATCACTCTGCTCATGGCAGATAAAACATCTCTGTTTCATGCCTTGCATTTATGTCCCGTGCACGTGATTCCTGAGTTCTGAGAGAAAAATGTCATGTTCTAACCCTGTAGCCTTAGCTCAAAAATAACCTGAGAAATGGGCCTTCCACACAGAAAAACAACTTCTTCCCCTGCCCCTGCAAACACCAGAGTTCACGTTCACAGTTCACACAAATTCCAGACAAAACCCAGCTAAACTCCAAGCACTTTGGTGACTTGGTCACATCTGGCTAAGTATGTCCCCCAGGAACATGATTAATTAATAGCAGAGTTGATGAAGTGTACATACTTGTGTGCTGAGTGTTCCATAATACCGAACGGACAGACAGATGGAGTGAAATCCTGTCTCCATCCTTGAACTCCCATTGACTTCACTGGGGTGAGCGCAAAATGAATGCAAGGTGACAAACCTGCAATAGAACAGGAAAACTATCCTTTACAAATAAGATGAGCTGGGCTCCATCCAGAGACACCAGGCCATGGGAGGGCTTGTATGGGATTGCCCCGAGCAGGTAATGATCGGCACTAAGTCCTCCCCGACCACCCCCAAGAATTATTCTTCCAGAGAAGACAAGAGATGGATCTCTGCCAGGTGTGCTTTTCCTCCAAGCCTGCAACACAGGATGAAGCTGTGTATGAGCACATATACTAGAACTGGGACATGGCAAAAACCAGGAATGGCACAAGCTACATCCACAATTGAAAAAAACCCATCTTGGGTAAATCAATGTATCTATGGCTATTTCAACCAGCTGAGAACCTACCCCTTGCACCGTGCTAGTTCTATTTACAACACACCTAATGCAGGCGCCAGTCCCCATCCCACCCCCTCAACTTTTCTTCAAGTTTTGTCAAGTACTTTAGTCACAAACTGTGCATACAGCTTCAAGGCCAGACTTTTGACTTTGTGCTTCCCATAGCAACTTCACCTTGATGACACTTAGGAATGCCCAGGGAGGCAGGGAGGTCAGTAAGTTAAAAACATTTGAGCCAATGGCACAGATCTTTGCCATCACTTAAACAGGGAGACCCCCAAAGCAGCAAAAGCAACAGCAGCATTTGCCATCTTGGATCTTATGACTCACTGGTGGGAATAAAGCCAAACAAGCAATTCCTTCCTGCATAGCACCTGCAATAAACATCTAAATCCAATGCAGTCATCTGGACCTTGTATGACCTACCCCTGAGCAGGCCTTTACACACACAATGGCTTTTGCGACCTGTGCGCTTTCAGGCAAGTAACAGCATAGCTTTTCCAGGTTGGAAGGCACTCGAGAGACTCATCTGGCTCAATGATTTATACCTCAAGTTCAGTATTATAGAACCACCCTATTCCCTGATGATTTTTTTTCCAGTTCTGTGTTGTCCTTCCAGCTTTGCTAAGCAGTTTACAATGTAGCATCATAAATACATGTCATTGCCTGAGAAAAAAAACAGACGCTGCTGTTTCACAGTCTCCAGGAGCAATAAAAGAGTGACAAATGGCCTTGAGCAAGCACTGTCCCACTGGCAAGAACAATAGCAGATTAACAGACTCCACTATATGGAAAGGAGGTAATACAACCCTGGTGGGAGAGGATTTCCTTCTGTAACACTTCCCTCAGCATGGTCTATGCCTTTCCCAACTAAATGGTCACCAGAGATGCAGAGACAAAAATAAAAGTTTACTGCCAGAACCCTCAATTGCTCTATTCCCTGAATCTTTTTATGTCTCTGTTACCAACACAATCCACGCAAAAAATAAGTAAGCAGTGACTAGTATGGCATGGCCCCATAAATTGACCCCAGTTCATCACTGAAACCACAAGGGTTGGATCATTTGTTGATGCTGCATGTGAACACAGCAGGGCTGTCCTCCAATGGACCACAGTAACAGGATAGCACTGTCAATACCCAGCAGTGGCTCGGATCTCTTTGTTTGCCTGCAGCTCCCAGCTGTCATCTTTCAAGGGACAAGCAAGCAGAATGGCATCCCCCCTCCTCCTAGCTCCAGCTTGCAAAGACAAGTAAAAGTAACAGGCACTCTCAGCTTAACTGGGTTACTCCTATAGCTCCCAAAAAGCATCTTCGATTCTATCCACACAAGTCCTTTAATGAAAATGCTGAATTAATTTCCCAAGATAAAATTATGAAACTCTATACTGCCCCACGTAAATATTCCAACAATATACTTCAATCTCCAACTATGATGCTCACATACTAGATGTTGATGCAGTTGTGAATCTCCTGCCAGCCACATCATATATTCAGGTTATCACCTTTGAGGCAGGGTTTCTATTCAAAAATCCCTACAACCTAACAAAGCAAGAGACAGAGGGAATACAAGGGGTATACACTCCATTTGATCTGATGGGGAACTAAGGTATGCCCCAAGAGGCATTTAGGTACCTAAATATAACAGCTGGAGTCAGGGGCAGTAAGAAGGCAACAGAAAAGTTGAATAAAGTTACATTTAAATCCCAGTGCAGACATGCCCCAGAGCATGCCTTGGGGTCTTTATCACACAGCTGTGAAAACTGAGCACCTGGTCAGGGCTTCCCTTTTGTCCTGCCTGCTTTAATTTTCTTCACATGGAAGCCAGGAAACACAAACAGATTTGCATGTTTGGATCTGGCCCAAGAAGGAGCTGGGACACACCTAAGACACCCGCTCATATCCACCACCTGGAAAATCAATTTTGCTGTTCAGATACAGATTGAGAAGCATCTTGCCTTTCTTGTAATATCTAGGTGTGGTATTTCATGAGGAATGTCACTTATGTTCCCATGCAACTAAAAGTCTTGTATAAATTTAAGGTTCAGAAGAATCGCAGTCCCACTCCAGTAACTGCAGCGGTATCTTCTTTTTCACTAACCACAGGCAGGTACATAAGACCTTACACCCTGCATATGACCAAGCTACTTCAGCTGGTTGGCTTAAGTTCCACGAATAAGATAAAACAATACATAGAAAAGCCAAGGACAATAGTTCCTTATTTCCAAGTGACTAACAGATGAACAGCACGGGTAAGGAATGCCCACCTTCAGGCATTTCATCTTTTGAGATTTCTCTTCTGCAGAGTTTGCAAATGGCAGTGACACTCACACCTGGCTGAGTAGCTGGTGAATAAACAAAATAAGCAGCTAGTTTTCAAATATTTCTGCTGTTTCGTCTTCTAATTTTATACCATTGGTCCTGACATACTCACTTTATATTTCATATCCTGTTCTATGAATAAGGGAACTCCTCTTTAGGGAACTCGGCAGTTGAGAAGTCAGGCTCCCGTATCTTTGGTTCACAATAGCTTTACTACAATGTGAAGGAACAACAAAGAAAGGGAAGGAATAGCTTCAGGTCACTTTGTGGCATATCTGTACAAAGGTTGAGTTCATTTCTTCAAAAACAGATGTTCAAATGACAAAATCCAGGATAAACAGAACCTGTGGCATCAGCCTGGCAGAAGGATGACGAGGCTGTCTTCATGGCAGGGAGGGCCCAAATCCAGAGCGGCATGGGGCACACCAGCAGAGCGAGCAACCTGACTGTCATCAAGGCACCGGTAAAGCAAGTACCATTGGCACTACAAAATTAACTCCTCTCACACATATAGAGATCATAGTTCCCAGAAATAGCTTGAAAAAAGTGAGAAATTACAAATTATTTTATCAGTTAAAGCTGTATAGCCTTATCTGAATATCACAAGGACAATGGTGCAAGACCAACACAGTGTAGATTCCCCTTTTCCTTTTTATAGTCAGTGGAATATAAAGAATTACTAAGCTCTAAGAGGCCTGACTACACACTTAAGTGAAAACTCTGCTGGAACAAGGCAATTCAACCGCTGCAGGCAAATGTTAAAAAAATTAAGGCCAGTCTTGGTATTGAAGGGAAACCACTGCCCCCTCACTCTATGAATACATACTCTTAGGTGTTTTATCATGGCAGGATTTGCACTGGTATGCCGCTGCTGTGAAGTAGAAAAGGGAAGAAAGAAGAAATACAACTTTTGACAGCAAAATATTTTACTTCCATGGGAGCTGATGGCAAAACTTCCTGACCCTACTGAAGTCAACTGATTTTATACAAAACAAGTAGATGAATCACTGAAATATCACCTGAAAAAGCACGTAAGTATTACTGATTAAATAGCTTGTATTTAATAGGAAATATCATTCTATTTTCACTGTTGGAATTTCAAAAATATTTTAGAAAATAGTATCAGCTGTCACAACAGTCATCGGTACCATTTACATTTACAGAAACACTGAGATCAATTCATCTTAAAAAAATATGTAAGAAATGAAAAGTTCTAGCAAAGTTTATCAATTCCAGTCTTCCTTTAATTGAGCTCCAGCATCAGCCTGCAGACCTCATCAGGAGACTCTAACAGTGGTCTTGTTAGTTGCTCGTTAGTTAATAAGACAACACTTGAAAGGTGCTCATAACATGCTACAACAAATTTCCTCTTGGCAAGATGTATTTTGGAATGGAATCAAGTGAAATTTACTGCAGTAAAGTGAGAATTCATTCTGCTTCTTCTGAGATTCCACTGCAACCAGGTCAGCCTATTTAATTCCTTAAGTAAGTTAGGCAGGAGGAAAGATGTATTTTTGCACCAGTTTTAGTTCACACACAGTAAATGCAGCCATGTACTACAGCTCTTTATTTGTGAAGTCAAGGAGAAAGACAAAAGATTTGCTGCTGGTTCTTTGTAAAACTGCTCTGCTTCTGTTCAGACTTCTGAGTTGCACTGTAGCATGACTTTACTCAGTTGTTTCTAAAATGAATTGATTCGTGTTCTAGTATTTCCATTGTAAAGAACATCCCTTCCCTGTATTCTCTGTGTATTAAGTAACAATACAAAAATGCTTTTTACCTAATAAAACATTAAAGGAAAAAGGAAATGTCATATTTGAAAACTTCTACAAACTCACATCTACCTAACAGCGGTAGCATCCTGGTCTATGTGGAACACGGTCTATTTTTTTTCTTAATAAAGATTATTAGCCAGGTAGATTTGAAACAACATTTTTCCTGGCAACTTAGTAAAACTCTTCAAATAAAACAGACAAGTATAGGGTTTGTGTTTAAAGTGCTCTTTATCTGATGCAGCAAATATTTGGCCGGTGTCCTTCTGGTCTCTAAGTAGCACTTCACGGATGATTAAGGGCAAGGAGGGGGGAAGCAGAACAAACTGTTCTAAGTTGTAGCTCTTAGTGAAACAGACCTTAGTGCCAGGTGGTACAGTACTAGCAGAGCATAAAACAAACCCGGCCTTTGTGGTTGAAACATTACCATGCACACATGTTCTTGCCACAATCTGAAGAGAAGGCAGATGTTAGTGCCTGGAATTTCTAATCTCCTGCAGTTAGAAAGCAAGCTCAGGGACTAGAAAACTCATTGAAGGAACAAGAGCAATCAAATGAATGCACGGCGAATGTCCATGGGGCGGCCCCGGTTGGGTCTAGGTGGAAACCTGTCATTGGGACCAGCTCGTCCTGGAAGCGTAGGGTTTGCTCCAGGCAAGGAACTAATTGGGTCAAAATGTGGTCTGAATGGAGGAAATTGGCCTGGTGCTTCTCCTGGGCCAGGAATGAGCGAATTAATTGGGTCTCCAACATATGGAAGTGTTGGTCTCTCATCGTATTCTCCACCAATGATCATTGGGGGATAGATTGGGTTTGATGGAAATGGGTTGGGAGGAAAAGGATTAGGATAGAATGGGTTGGGATGAAAGGGGATTGGATGAGGTGTAGGGGGCAGAAACATCATGTGCCTCCATCTCAGGGCCTCCTTCTTCTGTTTCAACTTTTTCTTGTATAGCTGCAGACAGAAACAAAGGCATTTTAAGGCTCTGTACGTGCTTTGTGTTCCAGCTTCAGCAATTGCATTCAGTTCTGCAGCACTTCCTAGAAAACAGTCCTTACCAGCCTTAAAACCCAGAACAGCAACTCCCCTGCCTGCCAAAGACCAAACACAGCATCTCTGAAGACCCCTAACCCATGATCCGGGCATGCACCACGTAACTCGTGGATGCTGTTTTCTCCTACTCTGACCAAATTCAACATGTGTACAAAGAACACCACGCTTTTAAACTCGAATTTAACTCAGAGTTACCGCCTCTCAAAGTCTATGTTTTATCCTCAAATTAGCCCATGGAGACTAATCTCAGGGAGATTATATTAAAAAGCCACCTACTTCTTTCCAGTCTGTGTCACGAGGCCTTGCAATAGGATCTACAAAGAGAAGCAAAAAAATTAAGAGCAGCAATCTATTTTATTTTTAAGTAGCATTCATGCCACAGATGCCCACAGCTCTGTCAGAACTTGCAGAAGAATCAAGAGATGAAAAATCACTTTCAGTCAACAATTTTTCAAAAAGATCATGCATCTTAAAAAATATAAAGCTCCAGGACCATTCAGTAAGTAATCTACTTGTACACCCATTCTATGCAAAGCATCATCTCCAAAAGCAGAGAAATCCCAGAAACACTGTCCCCATCTTTGACTTTTAACAGCACTTCCCTCGATCGTCTTCTTTCTTCAATCTCTCATGTGAAGTTACAGCAGGAATACCCTTTCCCCCCCTTTCC